TTTCAATAAAAGTAAGGATATTGTTAATCATACATAATCTGCATGTAAATTATAACGCGTATTCAATAATGAGTAGTTTTATAAAAAAAAAAAAAAGCTATACATTGATGGATATAGTGCAACCAGAAATTTTATTTTATTAATTCATTATTATACATAATATAGGATAGAAATAAAGAAAACTTTATTTTATTAATTTATTATTATATGTAATATAGCGATATAAATAAAGATAGTCCGACCCAGACATAAAATGAACTTCAGCTAAGTGTACGCTAATATGAAAGAATTGGTTTATCTCAAGGTTGTTGCATTTCTAAAGAGTAGTTTCACAAGCGGTTGTTAGAAGTTTATACACATCAATAAACACTAAACAGTAGACAGAAAACACACGAAATAAGTAGCTTCGTTTATCCTCAGTTAAGCCAACGAGTCCAGTAAAGATTAAAAGACTACACCCTTACGAAAATAACTTAACAATAAAATTATATTTTTCGGAATGAATCGCATCCCTTATCAGTGCTGATTTAGACCTACCCTTTGAACGAACTGAATCGCTCTCAGACTAGGACGCACCACCCACGCCAACTTTAGGCATGATATCATAAAATTGTGCGAGAACTTATTTTTCATGCTATACTACCAACTGTATAAATTTGTTACACATACATACCTCTTAATTTTCAACTTTTAAAAAAACACCGGGATTATTATTCTTTGCCTTCAAATTCTGTGATAAAATGGATAGTCTTTAGCTTGTTATATGGATTTACAACTAAAGGAAAAACAATAGAAAACTTTATACTCACAACGTCAAACATAACATTCGCAAATCGAATAAATTAACGAACTTGAATTTTTCTCTCTACGGTCTTAATTGTTCTCCAGAACTTTTTAAGGTAATCATTTTCTTCCATGGCTAATTTTAGCATCTTTTTCCTATCTTCCTTTTCGGTTTCTTCTAAATCTTCAATAATATCAAGTACAAACTCGGTTAAATTCCCAAGATCCTCATCATTAAGTCTTCTTTTTTGTGATGTATTACCATCAACTTTGTCTAATTTCCTTTTTTGTGACGGGATAACGTTCTCTTTATTATCAAATACTAAATCCGATTTTCGTGAAGCCTTGTCAATCAACCGATTAGTAATTTCGTTATCAAAGTTTTCCTTATTAGCGAATGCTTTCTCGTAATCACCGCCTAACGTAAAATAAAAAAAATCGGCTTATGCTCTTTATGTAAAGTCAAATTTTTGTGCTCTTATAATCAACTTACCAAGACAAATTACAACTTCGCAAGTTAAGATAGTGACATGCTCGAGTGCATGGTCGCTCCAACGACCTTGTTCGTTAATCGTGGTCCCATGGGCCAGTTTATTTCGAACGTTCCTTTTAAAACTAGTAAGTAACTCAACAGGGTTAGCCTTGTATGTGCCATGAAATACAGAGTTTTTTAAGAAGATCTTGATGTTTTCTATGATAAAGTTTAACATGCATAATAAGTCTGCGTTACAAAAGTCTTTACTAATGGGAGGTCGTTGTTTATTCGCGAATGACTCGACAACTTCTAGCGGAATAATACTTTCGTTATTAGTAAGGAAATCAGATACTGTTTTCTCGGAAAGGTTAATGAAAGGCTCTATGATCGCTCCTTGTTCACTGTCAGAGAAAGAAAATGATTGTTTGACTGATGGAGAAGAATCGCGAGCGGTTCTATTATTGTTGTAATTATTGGTGATGCTTGCTGTTTGTCCAACAGCAGATGAGTGAAACCGCGTTTTTTTAAAAACCGCAAAAGGCTTTGACTTCGACCGTTTTTGAGACGAGGAAGAAGAGGAGGAGGATAGTTTTTCATCTTCAAACCAGCCGAATATCATGATATTTGCCGGAGAACTTTTACGGAAGGTCTCATCCCCATACAAAATGTCGCAAAGTGAATCACGTATAGACCTGCGGGACCTTCTCAACGGACAGGCATCATATATCGCGTCCAAAGTAGAATCCAAAGTATCTTTAAGGTTCTTTCCGATAACACCGGAACGTATCCACGCTGAGAGCTCTTTTTTACCCATAATGACTGTTTAC